TTTTGGCGAGTTATTGGCTTGAGTTGCGGCTGGATACAGTGACTCAGATGTTGATGTTGTGAACCGTGGCCTGGAAGTTTTGAGTATGAAAAAAATTAGAGGAAAGCTGGAGCTTAACCATTGTTATGCGCGTTAAAATCACGGCGAAACTCGGGCTTCAGTTCCCTTGGCACAAGAGAGGGGTCGGAAAATCGCTGAGCGTGGTTTCTCTGGTCATTTCTTTAAATTGACTATCCTATTAGCCCATTACGGTGGAATTTTCCGAAAACCCCAATTGGTAAAGAAAAGGTCCTTCACCGTCTGATCATTTGCACCACATCGTGCTGAGGAAATATTATACGTTTATATGGACAGAGATGGCCCGGTCCTGCATCGTTGTCACAGATATCGCAACAGTTCACAGTTTCCCAATGATATGTAGCTAGGTTCTGTTGAACTTCTTATCCCTCTCTCTAGATTACCAAAAGGTTTCTTGGGGCTGTGCATTCATTTTGTTTGAATATGGTTAAAAGAGGGATACATATAACACGATTAACATAAAATTAGAGCCAAATGGCTAATTTTGTTATCACCATTAAAGGTTTAGCCCTTGAACATAAAGTTGCAGTAGGTCAAAAGGAAATGAGGAATAGGACTTGGGTAGTTTCACCTTCATGATCTCCTGGAGAAATCGGACTGTCAGTATGAAAATGCCAGGAGCCTGCTAGTTGATAACGAGCCTTCTCCTTTACCTTGAATTAATTTTAATGCACGAGCAAAGGGATTGTCAAAGGAAAGGCAATTCATGTCTCTCATTGCATTGTGCCAAAACTGATGGACCAGGTCATTATCTTATCTTCATCTTCTGTGAAATACAGTTTCAATTTGAAACCACCGAGTAAACGTTAAAGTACCACAAGAAGCAGGAAACTGAGTTTAGTAAATGATAATTACTTAAGCATATCTTCAGCCATTTGTTCTGTTGTAACCTTCTTAATTACTAAAGGAGATGCAGATTACTTACGGAAACATATGATGTCTATGCTACACCTACAGGAGTTTATTGTTTCCAATGCCACTGCCATTCATTTGGTAGCCTGGTTTAGAAAGCTTTTGGTAAATTTCATGCTAAGAAATAGATCTTTTTCTGCTTCATCTTTGGTAATATGCTTCATTGCGTTTAAGATCAACTAAGATATTTTTTCTGCGTATTCCTTAGATGATTTCCTTAAGCGCCATTCCTTTTTTGCTAAATTCTAATATATGTTTTTTGGCAGGAAAATTGCTGGAATTAACATGCCAAATGTTAACTGCCTTCGGACAGCATTCTCGACTCCCCAGTTGCCGATGAAACTCCACCCCTGATTTTGCACGCAGGCTTCACTACAAGCAATTAAGGTTTAGTTTTTGAGTCGCTCGACTTACTCTAGCTCTTTTTAGATCCCATTTCATTCAGCCCCCATAATCAATAAACAAATTGAAAACTCAGATCTACTCAGATACAATTCTTGAAACTAAACTAGCGCAACACTTCTGCTTGATGTTTTATGTAACAATTGATCCTGAAAAGGGCAGCTCAAGATGTTATTCCCAGCTGAGCTCCCATGGTTTTTCTTCTACTCTTCATGTTAACAGATGGTGGTTCATAAGTAAATTTTAATGCTGCTTTAGACTCGCATTATGAAAAGGAAAGCAACAGAAGGATCGAATTCTCACATCTCAAAAGTTGTTTAAGATGTAAGAGAGCAACATCCAGTGTTTCAAGTGGGCCTTTACACACCAAACGTGGAAGTAAAAATGGTTCATTTACCATCAACTATAACACTCCATTATGCTAAAAGTACTCGACACCATTCATCAAAATTAGCATATGATAAGTATCTCACATCTACTCATGGTCTAGTGGGTTAGATAGATGGTATGAAGTATCACCTAAACTTTTTGGCAGCCTCCAAGCTGCTGCTACTCGCTTTACCTGCTCTGATAAGTTCTAATCAGCTTTCTCTCGATGCAGATGCTCTGTGAATGACCGGCTAAGGATGTAAAAAAAAACAGTAATGGAACAGGTGGCTGCATGTCGGAGTCGAATCCATTTCATAATTTTCGTTTTGGTTTCGTCTTCTTTCTTTTTGTCCTTATTTTTTTTGGGTGGATGGTTCTCAAGAGAGGGAAGGACTTCTAGTATACTACTTAGTACATAGTGCTTCTTTTTAGGTGGTTGTGAAGGTGAGTGTTTTTGAAAATGTGTGTATTCAAGAACAAACAGGGCATTACCTTGCACGATGTGATCTGCCCTTCTCAATAAAACTTTTACAGAAATTTGTGGAACTCAATAAAATGATTCTTTCCTGTAATAACAAACCAAGTCGAGAATCTTTTCCCCTTGAGTCGTTTTTTTTCCCTGTGGATGCTAGACTTGGCAATGTTCGACCTTTGGAGAAGATGTAATCGGCTTTGATTGGATTGTAATAGTACACCTTTGCGAGTCTTACCTTATAATTTGCTAGTTTTTAACGACTACGCCATGTTCTTTCTGGCGTCTTCCAATCTGCGAGTGCTCAGAAATCTCTCAGGGCAGAAGTTATTATATCACTTAAGAATGATATGCTTCTTTGTTTTTAACACGATCGTGGGTTTGACACGTAGAGAATCCATGTATTTTATTAGAGGGAAAGAGAGCACTTGCACAGGAATTAACACTGCTTGGTGAGAGAAACGTGGAGAAAAAGATATAGGAAAGCAGATTCGTGGAGACATTAACTCCATAACCAACTTCCGCAATTGAACTCGTCTTTTGCTAACTGAAGCTGTTCAAAGAGGTCCAAAGGAAGATGTTCATGCTTTGACAGGGATGGGAAGATAGTGCCTTAGGCTGCGAATGATAACCATTCTGTTTCAGAAATCAATTTCTGGCAAGAAATTGATTTTTCTATTTCTGTTTCTGGAGGAGTTTCTAAGCTAAAAAACATGTTTGATAACGACACAAAATTTCTATTTCAGAAACAGAAATTTGTTTGATAATGGCACAAAATTTCTCCTTCTCATGTGGCCGGCTGTGGGCGGCGGACAATCGCTTCATTTCTTTTAGAAATAGAATAAAAAAATTAGAAAATCTGGAAAATTCCTAAAAATCTAAAAAAAAATTCAGAAAATCCATAAAATTTTCCAGAAAATAAAAAAAAGTCAGATTTCGGGAACATAGGAAATTTGTTCATTTTTTCCAAAAAAAATCAAAAATTTCAAAACTTCATAGAATGGCTTAAAATACCTGTGGCCACCCACTTTGAGTGAAATTTAAATTTTTTGAGGTGCCAAAAAAAAATCAAAAAATAAAAAATTTCAAAACTTCACAAAATGGCTTAGAATACATGTGGCCACCCACTTTAAGTGAAATTTAAATTTTTTTATTTTTTTTATTTTTTTGGCACCTAAAAAATTTAAATTTTACTTAAAATGAGTGACCACATGTATTCTAAGTTATCGTGTGAAGTTTTGAATTTTTTGGTTTTTTTTTGGGCACCTCAAAAAATTTAAATTTTACGCAAAGTGGGTGGCCACAGGTATTCTAAGCCATTCTGTGAAGTTTTGAAATTTTTGATTTTTAAATTTTTTTGGGCACCTCAAAATTTAAATTTCACTCAAAGTGGGTGGCCACAGATATTCTAAGTCATTCTGTGAAGTTTTGAAATTTTTGATTTTTGGATTTTTTTTTGGCACCTCAAAAAATTTAAATTTCACACAAAGTGGGTGGCCACATATATTCTAAGCCATTCTGTAAAGTTTTGAAATTTTTTATTTTTTTTATTTTTTTTGGCACCTCAAAAAATTTAAATTTCGCTCAAAGTGATTGGCCACAAGTATTATAAGCCATTCTGTGAAGTTTTGAAATTTTTTTATTTTTTTTGGAGAAAATGAACAAATTTCCTATTTTCCCGAAATCTGACTTTTTTTATTTTCTAGAAATTTTTATGAATTTTTCTGAATTTTTCAATTTTTAAGGATTTTTGGAATTTTTTTTGCAACGGCCAGAGGCTACCGCGGCCGATGGTGGCGGGAGGTGGCCGGTGGTCGGCGGCCGGCGGTGGTGGGAGGCACCCGGTGGCAATAGTGAGCGACGACGGGGTGGCCTGCTTAGTATCGAGGACGAGCGATGAGAAAAATTTATATTTCTCATTTCTGTTCCAGAAATAAAGAAGCTAAAAATTTTAGCTTCTGATTTCTCTTTCAAATCTATTTCTGGAACAAAAATTTGTTCCAGAAATAGAAATTAAAATTGTGTTACCAAACGGATTTCTGTTCCAAACCTATTTCTGGAACAGAAATAGAGAAATGGAATGGTTACCATGCGCAACCTTAACTACCAGAAGTAATTCACTTCCTTCCCCTTCAATCTATTTTTCTTTTGCTCAGTTCAGAAAAGGCATGAAGCCCAAGAAAAATGAGTTTGGGCATACACGTGTTCATGAGCCTCGAAAGCTCAGGTGGGAGGGTCCCTACAACCGCAATTTGTGCATCACTTCTGTAAAACACGCCATGGTTTTCTAGCTAATCTGCACCTACATTAGTGTTAATTCTTGAGAAGGAGAATCTGCTTTCAAGATCGATTCAATACCATGTAATGCTCTATGCCAGCCTCAATCCAAGCATCACTGCCCATAATAATTCAACTGTCACTGGTGAGTAATTGCCCAAGAAACAAGAGAAACCTCCCGGATAGCCCAAATTCTGAGCTTCTTAGTAAGAATATTCGAAGTTCCCAACCAATTATAGCTATTTGAGTTCTTTTGTAGCGATCTCAAGAATTCGAGAAAGAAGGCGACATAATTCGGCTTCAAAGAATAAAAGATGGATCTAACTACGTTAATGTTTCTGAAGTTAACTGCAAACCGCACTTCAGTCTATAATCAAATTGTCATCTATCCCAATTTCAGTTTCGGGCTAATAGCTATATTTTCTTTAAGTAACGCTGCTTCTCACGGTGCATTGCATTAAGCATCAAGCTGAAACTTGAAAAAAGTTCATGTATGAAAATGTCCTCCATTATGACCCATGTATAAACGCCCTTCTGTGTCAAACAAACTCAATTGCTTGTAAGTTTTGCTGAGTAGAGGAACAGAACAGAAAAGAAAGCAACACGTATGAGCTGTTATGCCTTTGATATGAAATGCTTAACCCCTAAACTAGGAGTGAGCATATAATGGTTTATGTCGGTCATAAGAAAAAGAGCAAACGGTTTTTGCCTCAAGCTAAACTGTAAACAGCAACAAAAGGCATGAGAACACTGCCTATCCACAGCTTCCCATCCTTCTCTTCCACTTCACTGACCGATCTGACGACCTTCCCTTCGTTGTCCTCCAGTATTTGCACAAGCTTACCCTCCGGGCTGTACTTCACAACCACGGCATGGGGTCGGCCACCGATTTGGAGTAGGAACTGTGTCTTCGCTGAGATGGGGAGCTTGAGCCAAAGTTTTCTGAGTTTTGGGTAGAGACTAGAGTAATAAGAGTACATGCTTCGACGACAGTGGATCGCCACCCAAAAGTCGCCATCCTTGTTAGTTCTGACATTATCGGGAAACCCAGGTAGAACGGCAAATACTTCAGAAGTCCCTGCCTTCTCGCCTTTCAACCAGAACTTCCTTAATCTACAACAGTCGATAGAGAATGAGTCCTTGCAAAATATAAAGGATAAAAATTTCAGTAACCCCATGCTAAAAGTCCTTTTTCTTTTCATCATTCAGTGAGTTTGATGCCCATCACATCCTTACATTGTGACTGGTTCCAAAATTTTAGAAACCGGAAATCCCACAGTTTCGTAGAATTTCTTTCTAATGTTTAAGTGGGAGAAGAGTCTCAAAGTTGAAAAACAATGCATTTGTGGAAGCACATTGACGATTGGCAAATGAGAAAAAGGAGGAAGTGTGGCATTAAAAAGATGCACTCTTTGGAAGATATGGATTTTGACAGACCTGCCAATTGCGCATTCAGAAAACACCAAGAAGGATCCATCCTTGCTTAATGACACGCCATTTGGAAACTGGAGGTTTCTCATAAGGACCGTGGTCTCCTTCATGGTCGGATCGTACTTTAGAAGCCTTCCACTATCTTCTGCTGAAAAGACCAACTGCAAGAAGTTCCTGATGAATAAGTTACTAGGTCAGACCGCCAAGTTGAATACCATCTTATCAACAATGCAAACAGAGAAAATAACGGATAACTCAGTTTCTGGGCAGAATTAATGTGTGTCGCTCCTCTCGGAGTTCACTGGTTCAGGTGATCTAATCCTCCTCATCAGATCAAACCCAACCAAATAGCATCCTAATTACTTCACCTGCATTTAATATGTTTTTTTTTTTTTGGTAAGGTGCATTTAATATGTTTGTACGATAAGATATGAACAGAGCCCAGGACATATCAATGAAAAGGTCCCATGAATACAGAAGGGATAATGACATGGGCTGTCCCTGAACATTTCTTCAATGTTCAATGCAGTACCTGAATTTTTTTTTCAATCTAGTCCTTGAACTTTTGAACTAAATGTACTCCATTAAATATTCTAATGCCACCATTAGCTGACGTGACCATAATTTCCATTAACTTGATGTTAGAATTGCCATGCTGGCGTCTGTGCCACATTATACCTTTCTGCCTCTCTTTATTTTGCCCATAGAAAGGAGAAAAAGGATTTGATGACTTGGGAAGACGACGTAGCAGTCCAAATCATTATTTTGGCCCATTAGGCACCAGCGTGGCAGTCCACGTCAAAAAAATGCACATTACTTGGTGATACACTACATGGAGGGACTACATTGAGCTGATTTTTGACAGTTCAGGGATTAAGATGGAACCAAAAAAAGAAGTTTAGGGACCACATTGAATATCGAAGAAAAGTTTACGGACCACCCACATCATTACCCCAAAATAGAACTATCCTGACACCTTCTCAACAATCTAGAGGAATTTGAGAAATCATTTAAGATTTTTGCTCGAGCATTTCCTTCTCTAACTAATACTGTTTAGAATGGAGTCGACAAAACATTGAGCTAAAGGTCATCAGAGATCTGAGAAAAGGGAGACCTGATTATAAAACAGAGAGAAATCATTTGCAATCCAGGTAGGTGGTCGAAATAATAAGAGGTGACCTACGACCATACACCAAAGTGGAATTAGTGAATAGCTGATTATCGCGTCACATCCACCGTTCCTCTCTTACACTCTAAATTTTAGCGCTAATACGTAATCCAGCTTCGCCAAACTCAACAAATAGGCATGCCAATCAGATTATGCTAAGTTCTTCAGAAAATAAGGTATCATCCACCTTCACAGGTGGCAGTTTCCATCAGCTAATATAAAACAGATAAGAACCAATGGGGATGCGTAATCCGAGATTGGGAAAGAGTTGAGGAACGGCCATTCTTACCTCCTTTGGTACTTGGTACTGCTATCTGTGAAGTAGACATTTCCTTCTTCATCAATGTCAAGATCGTTGGTGAACCCTAGAGGAACTCCTTCGGCTTCAGTTGCAAGTGAGGTTGCCAATCCACCTTCAGGACCTACTTTCATCAACCCAAAATATGCATCTGCGATGTATAAATCGCCGGTACTCTTGTCGAATCTAAGACCCAAGGGCCTTCCACAAATGTGCTCATTTTTCAAGTAACTCAAAGGTGATGGCTTTGGATCACACAGGCTTGACCTGAATTTAAAGGCAAAAAGTGTTGAAACACAGAATGCATCCGGAGACTAGTCTGTGATAATCACAATACATGAATGAAGTGAATTTGGTCAAACAGCTGTGCCCGATTTATGCCAGTATCCAAGTGCTTCAGGCAAGAGACTAAACTAATCCCGGAACATTTCTGACTGATCATGACCTACAATTACTTAATTCCAAAAGGGAGCATCTTGAAGAAAGATTAAAATCATGTTGACATATCAAAACTGAAATGGTTTCAACTTGAGTGAGTAGCTCATGAAACTTCATTAGACATTATGATATGTGCCAGCAGCTATCAAATAAACAAATAACAACAGTCTGGTTCATATTCATATTCACAAATACGGGACTCAGCATTCCTCAGTGAATATTGGAACTATCAAGCAATGGCTTATAGACCAAGGGAGTGACGATTGCCAATTACTTGTGAAGTGATCAGAATCTTGTGCACAATAAGCATGTTGAAATGTTCATCCAGATTCAGCTCAAACTAACAGGTCCAATCATTCTGGCTTCAACATATGATCATGGCGAGAAACTGCATCCTACAGAATAGTGCAGTCATACCACATGGAATGTTCCTTTGGTGACATCATCATTCCGAGGAACCGTACTTATGACTAAGTGCACAAGTAACCAACTTGTTCGAGTAAAAGTAGACATGGAGTCGCATGCCCCAAACTATGTTAAATGACAAATGGTGAAACAGGGGCAGAACATAGTCATGACCCTTGACTTCTATAGAACAACAACAGCCATAGATAAAGGTTGAGCCTGCTTTGGGCGGCCATAGCCATCTTGTTTTCACTTTTAGCTCCTCAAGCTCTTGTTGGCCTTTGTAGCTTTTGTAACTCATTCAATGATTGTCTGATCTGAAAGCGTTATGCATATAGTAAACACGAGGACTAAAACAGCATCCCAAGTCCAATGTATCATAGTTCGAAGGATAAAGTTAATCTTTATAGTTTAGTTCTGTGTGAAGTAGACGCTTTACTGGAAAAGGTAAAAAAAATTGAACTTCGAGCCCTTCTTCCCTCTCTTCCTCGTTAAAGATAAAAACTTGCGTAGCTCATGGTTCATGGTGCAAGCAACGACGTCGACACACCCTCAAGTGCCTCAATTTGCAGAATGCTAAAAAAGAACTGAGAGAGACTGACCTGTTCCCCGAAGTGTAGGCGAAGTCCTTCCAAGACTCGCCGTCCCAGAACAGAACACGGCCGTCGGCGACGCCGGTGTAGGGCCCGCGACCCGCGGGGTCGAAGGCGACGCTCTCGGGTCCTTGTATCTGGTTCAGAAACTTAATCTCCGACCTCTGCAACAGGTTCTCGGCGTCCTTCTCGGTGGGCACATCCGACCAAGGGGGCATGTCGACCCTGTACGCCTCGAAGTCCGGGAAGTTCGCCACCGCGCTCCGCCCGAGCGGGTCGAGCCCGCAGTACAGGGCCCCGAGGAGACATATCCCGGCGAGTATTCCGGCCGGCGACATTGGAAGGCGTATTGGTAGAGAGAGGGGAGAAGGTGTGTAATGTAGAGAAGTAGACCCAGCAGAGGAAAATGTTTGGTTTTGGAGAGGAGTTCAAGATTTTGATGGAAGATGGCGAGGTGGGTAGGTGGATGGCGTGGGGGGGCTGAGTGGCAGATAGACAGTCGGGAGTTTGGTTAGTCTCGGAGGCTACAGCAGTGCGTGGCTATGGAATAGTTCGGTCCAAGATCATCTAGACACCATTGCAATGGAAGAAAGGTTCGCTCAGGAGAAGAAGAGAGGAGGAGGAGGTTCAAATTACAGTGAAGCGAATTGGCACATCCGGAGGGGATGATGATGGATTGGAAGTTGCTAGAGCACTGTGCAGGGATGAGGAACAAGTCATGCTGATGTTTGGTCTGAACAGTCATGGTGATCGACAGGATAGGAATTGTGCCTTCCTCTTACTTAGATTGCCAGACTCCTTACGGTAAAAATTGAGAACTCGATATTACTGAATTTATTGATAACGGGTGAATAATATCATGGTAATAGAACAGTGATTTTGCGACTTTCCCGTCTGAGATCGCACGCTAAATCTCATCGATAGATTTTCATAAGTACCACATTAATTAATAATTAAAAAAATTCGACCATCTCAATAATTTACCGATGTTTATTTTTGTCCATTGCCAACGTGTTGGGGTCAAATTAAGGTACTAGCTAACCTTAGTCATTCACCAACTTATTCTTTTTTTTTATATGTCGGAACGTGTCCACATTGCTTTATACTTCAAATAATTACCTGCTACTTTAATAATCTAGTATGCTACATGAAATTAGGTGTACGTAATGGATCCTTCTTTATTGGTATATCGGCAGTGTTTTCCACGGCGTTGGTATGTTATAAAACTAAATATTGTTACGTTATCAAAATAGTTGGTAATTTTTTAAGTATGAATAAATATTAGTGCATGTCGACATTTATTGGTTAGTTTCTAACGCTCACGTTGTTTGCCAGTTGCCAACACCAAACTGGGTTTCACCTTTTGGTGCACGGAACGAACGCCAGCAACGTCTGCTAAGCCAGGAAAAAGCAAATTTACTGTCAAAAGGCAGGGAAAGAGCAGTAGCAGAAGCTGCAGAACGGAGGTTCTCTAAAATTTCTCGAGAAAAATCGATTTTGATAAACTCAAATCCTCACGAATACATGTTTCAATTGAAGAAACACGTACGGCAAACACACAATTTGGTGAAAGATCTGGAATAAAGCAGTAATCGATCACCGACTCTCAGCCTCGGTTATCCCCCTCATCCGAATGCTGAACGACCCACGCATCGATCCATGATCATTGTAGTGAAGTCGTATCAGTGTCGAAAGAACCAAAATTTTGCGCCAGAAGAAATTGATGATGCCCTGGGATTCGTCTGCAAGGGATTTAGGTCATTAACGAGGATAACAAGATGTGAAGCTTCACATGAATTTAGAGCTGATTAAAATGTCCAAGAATCATGTGTCTCGATTCTAGGATACAATACAAAAATTAACCCAAAAAAAGAAAGCAACCATAAACAGCTCCAACTATTATGACGACCACACTACGGACACAGGATATCATCGTTGCCACCTTGCTATGGGATGACAAATGCTAAGACCCGGCATCAAGATCCGACTTAATGAAGTTTGGAGGATGATGTTAACAAAAAAATTAGTTCTAAGACTAGCAAAATCTCTATAGATAACTTCGCGACCTAAGCCTCATATTAAATTTCCCTGAAGGTCAGAGTGAGAATCTGGAAAGCTTTTTCCATCTCAACTCGCCTTATTTCCATCCACGCCGACTTCTTCGGGATGAAGGTCCTTAACAGCCTTAACATCAGCATCAGGAAGTCCATCTTTCGGACATTCTGGAGTCTCGCTTTCCTTTTGTATGGATGGTGCTTCAGATTGTGCTGCCTTGTCCTTGGGTCCTTCCTTTTTATCCTCAGAACCTACAGATATGGGCGCTTCACTCCCCACGTGCTCTTCCTTTGCATCAGAAGAGGTCTTACCTTCAAACACAGGCTCTGCTAAGTTCTCTACCAGATTGTCCTTAGTTGTCTCTACTTCAGGCGCTTGCGACTCTTGGTCAAGCTTCTCTTTCTCAGCTTCACCAGCAGCTCCCGGTTTCTCTATCTTCTCACTGTTTGCCTCATGCACTGTTTCTTCAGATTCTTTATCAGGAACATCTCCTTTGTGCTTTGCCAGATCATCCTCAACCGCGTCTTTCATTTCCACTTCCTTGCTTGCTTTAGTTTCTTCCCCAGCTGCAGTATCTTCTTTCTCTTCAGCATCCTCATACCCTACTTCAGTATCTTGTGTTTTAGCTTTTGCCCCCTTCTTTCCGCTGGACCGCTTCGAAGGGGGCTCATTTTCAGGGGTCTCTGTTGCTTTAACTTTCTCGCTAATCCTCATAGAACGCCTAGGAGTTTCACCTGATTCCCACAGCATTGAAAATGCATGAAAAATATGAAAGTAACACAAATCGACCCTGTGTGTGTGTGTGTGTGTGTGTTTGTGTGAGAGAGAGAGAGAGAGAACCTGTGCTCCAGTCGAATTCAGAAGCTGACGGTCCTCCAGGATGAGATTTGAGATACTGATCCAACTGCCTCTTACTCTTGATCTCCTCATCAGTAGGTGAAATAAAGACTATCTCGTTCCTCCTAGGCGTCCCACTTTTCTTTGGAGTGAGCTGCAGGTACAAGGAAAAAGAGTAGATGAAAAGGATTGCTAACTGTGGTTGGCAAGATTCATCATGTTGCAACAGAGTATAAAGAAACACAACCCGCTTTTCTTTCGAAAAAACTGGAAAAGACAAAGAAGTAACACGAGAATAATAGACGAGACACATATTCCTCTTCTTACTTAAATAATCGCAGAGGAGAGATAAGAAACTTATATGAAAGCGGCGAAAAGAGGGGCCTTTCACATTAGGGAAAAGAGAAGGATGAACTCAACTGTTATCAGAAAATACGCACACTACACTAACTGAGGCAAATTCACTTTTTTCCGTGTTTACTTTCTATTACTTCTTACTTATTCATCCTTTTGGGGGTTCCCGAATTTTCATGCCTGATCAACCCCAGAGACCTCGAGTCTACAACATAAGAAGTCTGTCCCGAAAATTAGGGGGCTTTTCAGCAAAGAGCAAAGAGAATTGTTCACAATCAAAGCAGTATCATCACAATGTTCAAAGAAAACTTAGCTGTTCGGCTTCAACCTTACCTCACTTCGGGTTCTACCAGCTTGAATATTTCTTCACATCTAAAGGCATGTCAATTACCTCGAGAAGGTGCCCGTATCACTTCTCACACATGTATCAGGCCTTTAGAAAGGTAGGGCAGTTCAATTTAAAATGGGAGACTACTTTTAAGTTCTTTGCATGCAGACCATTAAGGACATTCCCTTCCATGAAATTCAGACAATATCCTTCTATTCCTTGTACAAATAAAACAGTGTGAATAGTCAATAACTGAATAATACCACTACCCAATATAATATCTTGAAAAGCATAATCAATCAAAACTGTCAAATTTAAACAAATAAAAAGTTGAACATGTCTTCTGACAAATTTTTTTATCAAGAATTTTGCTTTACTATTTGTAATATGATGCTAAAAGATTATCAAACTTTTCACTTCAATGTGGTTTTGATTTACTCCTGCAGCTAAGACTTCTTGAATTATCCTTTCACTACTTTTCTCTACCGTTGAGAAGAATACCTAAAATATAGTAAATTAACAAGTACATTTCTCAGATGGGACGAGCTATCGCATGTTTGTTCCACTCTTGCATGACTACGAAATAGACCCACAAAATAGCCATGAAAACAATATACAGGGGTGGGGGAAGAAAAGAACGTACAATTGTTTCCAATATTGTGATATGGAATTTGAGGCAGTATAACTGTTTAATTGTTTGAGATTCGGGTAATTCTTGCAATTTCGAAAATGATGAAGTCAAGCAGTACACAGAGGTATTTATATTTACATAGGTGCATCATTTCGTACTTTTCCCTCGAGTCAACTATTCATATGCAGGCCATGATGCATAATCTACAGTCACATCCAGCAAAAGCAATGCATCATAAGAAATCCACAACATCAATGGTGCAAGAGATGGTACACATTTCCATTCCGTCTAGATTAACATTCCATATAGACAACCAACTTAATGGCGAAAATGATCACTTGGAAAGAGTAGGAAGCAAGCACGTGCTGTGATAAGTTGGAGCAGATCCGAGTCTCGTCATAGACTTCTATAAGTAAAAACGATAAAGAACATGTACAGAAAAGGGAAGGTTGAAGTCCCTAAAACAAACACATATTCTATCTTGAAGTAAGTTCCAAAAGGTAAACCAGCTACTGAATAATGTGCCAAGCTATAATGCTCCAAACCAGCAGTGAACAGAAAAAAGATACCAAATTAGCCAAAACAAGATCGACATGATGACTTAAAGTCTCTTTTTTTATTATTTTCTTTTAGGGAAAACAGAAAAGAACGGCTCTGATGATGGACTAATCCAAAATCGCCCCCTCGATTCAATACAAGCAAAATGAATATGTGTACTACGCCAACCCCACACAGCCCACCAAAAATCCAAAAAATTCCAAAAAAAAACAGACAAAGAAGTTACCAAAAAAAAAAGAGAACAAAAGAAGCAACAACAGCTGCATTACGGATTGCGCAGCTACAGAAGCTGGGGAGCTAATCAAAAGGAACCCTTTCTTCTCCAGTTCCACGGTTCTCGAATTCCACAGACGTATCAGAAATCGAGCTCAACGGAGCATGAAAAAGGAAAGAAAAACCAACAACTGTCGCGTAACTTCACCAACTGAGAAACACCGAACCTCGTCCGCACACGAAAGAACAGGAAGGAAGCCAACCACGCTCTCGATTTCGCAAAAAAAAAAAAAAAATTTCCGCCATCGCTAGCACGATCACCCGCATTTCCAAGGAAACCATCGAAAACCCAGCTTCCCCCCTAGGAGGAAAAACAACGAAAAACCTAGCACGAGCGAAATCCAGAAAAAGCCCAGCACACACTCGCGGCGGAACGAATTAGGGCTCCAGCCCGAACGAAATCGAGAACCGCTAAAAAAATAGGGGGGGGAGGAAAAGCAACGCAGAGCGGCACCTTCTTCTTCCAGCCCGCCGGAGCCGGCAGCTCGACGACGCCGTCGTCCCGCCTCTCCGCCGCGTTCACCTCGCCGCTCGCCATTTCCGCCGGAGCTCCTCCCTCTCTCTCTCTGTTCCCGCTCCGCGACTCTGAACACACAAAGAACGCCAAAAAAAAAAAAAAGGAAAAAGAATCTGAAATCCAACGAACGAAAAAATCGAAAGAAATGCACGCGAAGGCCGACGAGTGCGCTCCGTTGATCTTCGATCCCGGGCCGCACTGTCGGTTTCTGGCGTCCGTCTGATCTCGGAGAGGGGGGGGGAAGGGTGGGGCTGGCGGGGCTTCGGGCGATGTACACGTGGCGGTCTTGTCTGGACGTCACGCGAGCCTACCAACTATTTTGGAAACTCGGAGCTCGCGTCCGGCGATTTCAACGGTTTCTCTCGGGGCCCGCGTCGAGGGTCGGGGCTTAACGAGGCGCGATCCCGGCCGTCCATTTTGATCCCCATCCCGCGGGTCTCATCTGGTCCGTTGCCGTCCCCGTCGCCGCGCCCGCGCCGTCGGTTCTCCGGGTTGCTGCTCGGGGTGAGGTTGGAATTTACAACCATCCCCCCCGCCCTATAATGTCACCTGGATTTTTGTTCCCTGTATTTTTTGCGACCAAATTCCCAAAAAAGCACTAATTTGATCGTCAAAGACAATTTTGATCTAAACTTTTTTTTATCTCATAAAAAATCACAAACTTTCGCGTCCGAACAACCTTCACCAACTTTTATGGGGCCAAATTCAGGATTCAAATAAAAATTGATATTTTTCATCAAAATAAAAAAATTTCGAATAAGAATTATCACTTAAAGTAAAGTCAGTGTTTTTATTAGAATTAGCCCTATTTTTTGTGTAATACATTATCGCCGGTGTATTCTTGGGGTGGGGTCAATAACTAACTCCCGATGATTCTAAAGTTGCAATCTTGGAAAAATTGCTAGACAATAGTCACGTGGCGGAATTTAGTAATTGATATCCATGTCACTTCTATATATTTGACGAAAAACTTGAGTAATTGGTCTCATTTTTCGGCTTCCCAAATTGGCCCTTCCTAAACGAGAACGTAGACAATAAATGAGGATAAAAAATGTAAAATAAAAGTGCTCGCTATCCTCTCTTACGTAATTAACTTCTCGATCTTCAATTAAGTTAATTAACCATGTTCTCATCAGCCACGTTTTCTTACAATTGCCTTCGATATTTATGGTGAGCGATTTTTATTTGCCATTTAGATTTAGTGGGATTCATCGGTGATACAATGGGTAGAATAGATGAGAGAATGATGAAGCAAATAAACACATATCTCGCTATCTTGCTGTCATTTTGTCTTTTGTTTTTGGTTATGTTTGTTTCGTGAAATTTTTTTCCAGGAAAATATGTTCCTTATTTTCGGGTGTTTGGATTGTTTAAGAAAATGAGTTAATAGACAATATTATTCTAATCATCGGAAAACCTTTATTTGAATTTGGGAAAATGATTTCCTTTTTCAAAAATCAAAAATCATTTTTCAAATTATAACTAGACAAGGACACTTGACCAAAAACTCTGCACTTAGGCATGGGAACCTTAACGCTTGTTCCCGAATCCTTGGTAGCGGGGCCGGGTCCACGAGGCTAGGTCGAGCATGGGACCTTGGCGGCCATGCCTGGGTCCATCAAGATCAGGCCCAAGTTCATCGAGGTCGGGCTTGGGGCCTAACTGCTTGTCTTGGGTCCCCAACACCGAAGCTCGGGTCCATAGTGGCTAGAATCGGGACCCCGGTACCCGTGCCCAATTCAACGGCACCTAGGCCCATGTTCATCGAGGCCGGCCATGGCTCACAGAGGCTAAGCTCGAGACCTCGGTGCCCGGACCTTGGTCTCGGGTCCATAAAGACTGACATCAAGGCCTGGGAACTCGGTACTCGTGCCTGGGTCCCCATCGCATGTGCCTGGATCCCAAACGCCTGGGCCCGAGCCCATTGAGGACGGGTGTGACATCCCGAAATTCATACATTAATTGACAATAAGTAGGAAATGAAGATGATAAATGCCTCTAGTGAAAATTCCAGTTGGTTTATTAACGGTGTAGTTAGTAGAAGATTTAAAATGTATCTTCCTTATTCGTGGTTCTCGGAAAGTGTTTTGTGTATGGTTGGATTATATAGAGTGGCGATAAATCACGTATCGCCATAGTAATTGTAGATGGAGACTGATAGCTCTGTATTGTGTATTGAATTATTTACAGGTTAGAAATTTACTAAGTTGTGAATCTCTTGGCGTTGAGTAACTTTGCTGAATGCTTTTGTGAGTTCAAAATATTTCTCCATGTTATCAATGTTTAGAATAGATATTGATTTCCTTGTTTATATACTAATATACTAAATATTTTATTGACTTACCGAAATATCTTTGTTTCTATCATCCAAATTTAGCCATGTGTCATTCTTGGGAAAATTGTCAAAAAAGTCCTAAACTTATTGTACGGCGGCCAATTCAGTCCTAAACCTTTTAAGTTTTCCAATTCAGTTCTAAACCTTTTTAATTCTTGTCAATTCAGTCCTTCTGGCCAATTTTAGCCGGCCGGCGCTGACATGGCCGCCGGGCGTCCGGCCAATGCTGACGTGGCAATTTTTTATTATTTTTTTCAATTTTTTAATCTTTTTTTTAATGATTTCTTCCTCTGGCCGGTCCGGCGATTGGCGGCCGGCCAGAGGGGAGGACCGGCGAGGTCGACCTCGCCGGCCTCTGGCGAAGCTCGCCCCGCCGGCCACCGGCGAGGGCGAGCCTCGCCGGCCTCGCGAGGGCGAGGTCGCCTCGCCCGGCCAGGGCGAGGCCGACCTCGCCGTCGCGACCCGGGCGACGGCGAGGTCGGCCTCGTCGTCGCGACACGTGCGACGGCGAGGTCGGCCTCGCCGCCGCCGGGCGAGGCGAGGCCAACCTCGCTGACGCTGGGTCGCGACGGCGAGGTCGAGCCTCGCCAGATCCGGGCGAGGCTCGACCTCGTCGTCGCGACCTAGGCGTCGGCGAGGCTCGACCTCGTCGTCGCGACCCAAAGCGTCGGCGAGGTCGGCCTCGCCTCCGTGGGCGAGGCGACCTCGTCCGGCCCGGGGGCGGCAAGGCTCGCCCTCGCCGTGGCCGGCGGGCGAGCTTCGCTAGAGGCGGGCGAGGTCGAGCCTCGACCTCGCCGTTGCGACCCAGGCGTCGACGAGGTCGGCCGCGCCTCTTCTGGCGAGGCTCGACCTCGCCGTCGCGACCCAGGCGACGGCTAGGTCGGCCTCGCCTTTGCTGGGCGAGGCAACCTACGCCTAGCCAAGGGCCGCCGAGGCTCGCCCACTCGCCGGTGGCCGGCGGGCGAGCTGCGCCGAGGGCCCGGCGAGGTCGACCTCGCCGGCCCTCCCCTCTGGCCGACCGCCGGTCGCCGGACCGGCCAGAGGAAGAAATCAGAAAAAAAAATATTAAAAAAGATTAAAAATTGAAAAAAATAATAAAAAATTGCCACGTCAGCGTTGGCCGGACGGCCGGCGGACACGTCAGCGCCGGCCGGCCAAAATTGGCCGCAAGGACTGAATTGGCAAGAATTAAAAAGGTTTGGGACTGAATTGGCAAACTTAAAAGGTTTAGGACTGAATTGGCTGCCGTACAATAGGTTTAGGACTTTTTTGACAATTTCCCCTGTCATTCTTTAAACTTGAAGACCTCTCTCTCATTCTCCACCGAGTATTTTTAACCCATTGTCATCATTATTTTTAACCTCGGTTAATTGTTCTTATCCTTTATAACTCTTATGTAGTCTTCCAAATACATTCTCCTTGGCCATAGAATCTCATCTCAAAATTCTTCAAGTCTTCGACTTTCTTTTTCAATCTCACTCTTCAAATTTTTTAGAGTAATCAAAAGTCTCATAGTTGTGTTGTTGAAGCTTCAAGTTCAATCTTTCAGGAGTTTACGAGGTGAATTAGCGAGCTTTATTTTCTTTTGTTAAACTAGTTTTGTTAAAAGATTGAGACTTGTTAAACTTTCTTTTGGTCTATTTTTATCTTGAAAGCGGTTAAGGCTTTGAGTCGTTCCAGTATTTGTTCAAGGTAAGTGAAAAATCTAGAAACTAAGTTGGATTATTATACTTAGTAGTTATGACTTGGTTGGTTAATTTTTGTTTGACCTCTATAGTTGACTGTAGGTAAGTTTCAATAATGGTACGTGGAATCTTTGTGTTCACTTGATTTGAATCGATAAGCTTGTTACATGTTTAGGATGTATTTGATTGATTTTCCCAGGGTTATTTGATTGTCCTTGTAAGATGCAATTGCATTTTCAAGTGTAAAGAATGTGGTAATGACGAAAACTAGACTTTAAAGTGAAATTTTTTATAATTCTAATTAAGTTACTGATTTATTGATTAAATGTTGGCTGACTTATTATGTTGTCGATTTCTAGATTTACCGATCGTGACCTAAGTTATCGATGTCCAAATTGTCGATCGTTAAGTTGCCAATTTTCTAACTTGTTGATTGTTAAGTCGCCAATTTTCCAAGTTATCGATTTTATAACTTGTCGATTTTCTGATGAATTTACTGACCTTTGATTAAATTATCATTAGTTACATGAGAAATATCATTATTATTACATGCGTATGTGATTATTGAAATAACATGGCCATTATATCATAAGCTGTTGTGTACTGGATATTGATTCTTGAAAATGGAAATGTAAAGATTTAATAAATGGGTGTTGATTTCGTTGTTGATGCAAGAACAATCATATGATTATAGTGTTATCATGTGCACTACTACTATATAATTATATATATGAAAAGTTTCATGTTATATTTCCGTCGCCCATATATTAGCAGTGATGATGCCCCGTGTGTCAGGATGCCTCGCGAATCGGGATGCTTCATATGTTGGGATGCCTCGGAAGTCAAGATGCTTTGTAAGTTGAGATGGCTCGATAGTGACATGCCTCGTGTGTTAGGATGCCCCAGAAGTGTTAGGTTGCCTTGTTAGTCGAGATGATTTGCCAATAACAAGTATGATATATGTTTATAAATGTGCATATATAAATATGTATGTATGTATTCAAATGTGTCCATCGTTGAACTATTGTGGGGTAGCCATGCATCACAATAAGTCGAGTCATTTGCTTGTGTTGGAACAAATGTTATTATGCAACATTTTTCATTGATTTGTGTTGGCATATCATGATAGGGAAGATAGTGCATTTATCCCTTTAATTGTTATGCTTAGTCGATACCATATTGAGTGGTAAGATGATCTCCTACTATAGACTTAAAGATTTCATTTACTGAGCCTTGATCTACTTCTTTATTTTTTCAGATATTTAGGATAGATCCACATCCTGTGTTATGTTTTGGAGTACCCGCGTATATAGAATGGGAATACTAAGATATACTTATACTAGGGTTTGAGATGCTGGGAGTACGCAGCAGAAATCCGATACCTTCACCTAGAGAGATCGCCAAGAGAGAGCCCAAGTCCCAGCCCGCCAATGAGTGAAGGTGGGTCCAATTGGATATGTTGACGGGCTCTAGTTTGGACTCTCTCTTGGCAATCTCCCTAGGTAAAGATATTGGGCTTCTGTTGCGTGCTCCGAACAAATGGTATTAGAGCTGACGGTTGATTGGTGGGCCTCCAATCTGTTCTAGTGTCTGGTGAATATCTCAACAACAAAATCTCATGATCGACAGTTGTGGGTGCATTGCAATGACTTAGAGATTCAAGTTGAGATATGTTGGTGCATAAGGATATTTGAATTATGGGGGAGCAAATCTAACACTAGAGCTCACGCGTGAAGGGGAGATTGTTAGGATACATGTGTGCGTTGTGTTAGAAAAGTCCCACATCGGATAATTGATACAATGTTGAGCAGTTAATATATCCTAGTTGACCCATAACTCATTAGCTTAAGCTTTTGAGTGAAGGTGGGTCTAACTGGATAAATTGATGAGCTCAGACTTGGGCTCCCTCTTGGCGATTTCCCCAGGAGAAGGTATTGAGCATTTGCTGCGTGCTCCCAACATGAGATGGTGTACGTTAAATGTAGTTTCATTGTTTGAGTTGATGTGGGACTACCGGAGTATCTCCTTCATTAGCTCGTTTCAATGGGCAAGGTTGTCTATCCATTGAGTGATCACTTAACTTTTGTATAGACTAGTTTTTAGTGTAGGAGTGGTGTGATGGGGTTAGGTTACTCAACTTTTCCCAGGACTTATGTAATGTAATTGTGTTTTGTTTGAAAGTGGTATTAATTAATAACCACTAATGTTAACACAAAGAAGCATATGTACACTAATTAACTTGTTAGGTTTCTTGTATGAAATTATGTGTTTTATGCCTGACAATAATGATAAGAAAAGATAATTGGAAATGACACGTATTGCACGTGACGTTTTGGGTGTCCCAACCTACTTGGTGTCAAAGTAGGTTTACCCATAGAATGATAATGTGCACTTAGTGGTTGGAGTAGTATAGTAAATCGCGCGAGTGTAAAAGGCTTTGTGGGGCAAGATGAGCTCTAGTGGCAATTCAAAGTAAAATGAAGGGAATCCTCTTAGTGCTTGCAAATGTCGGAAGTTTGGTGGCAAAGCAGGCATGATAGCAAGTTGCCTCTAGTTCGGGAAATGGCAAGTATCATTTACGAGGTTTAATTGAGCAATTGTTGAAGCTGAAGCAACTAGGGTTTGTTGGGATAAGTAATCCTGAAAAGACAGAATCACAGATCGATGGGATGGAGCCTAAGTGTATAATTTTAAATAATTATTAGGAATATATTTTCTAAATCATTCATTTTTCTTGAAATAAACAGAGTCTAAACGTATAATTCTGCTTCTTATGCAAATTTTGAGCTAATTTCTCATTTGCTTTTAGTTCTTATCTCAAAATCTAGGAAAAATTACCAAAACAGTCATAAACCTAATTTAGTTCTAAACTTTTTTTTTTTGCTAATTGAGTCATAAACTTTTTAAATTTATGCCAATTTAGTCAATCCTGTCAATTTTGCTCGGCTGGCGCTAACGCCAACCGACGCCGTCCGTCCGACCAATGCTGACGTGGCAATTTTTAAATATTTTAAAAAAATTGAATTTTTTTAATTTTTTTTCCTTTCTCTTTTTTTTTATTATTTTATCATTCCTTCCTCTGCTAGCAACCAGCCACATGCTAGGGCCAGGAAGGTCACCTCGCTGTGGTTGTGGGTGAGCCTCACCAGTGGCCGGTAAGGGCCATGGCTATGGGCAAGCCTCACCAGTGGCCGGCGAGGTGGCCTTGCCGGCCCTAGCCCTTGGCCACCAGCCATGGGAAGAAGGAAAGAAAAAAAAAAGGAGAGAGAAAGGAAAAAAAATTTAAAAAATATTAAAAAAATTGCCACGTCAGCGTCGGCCGGACGGCCAACGTCCATGTTAGCGCCGGCCTGCCAAATTGACCGGATGAACTGAATTGGTATAAATATAAAAAGTTTAGGATTGAATTAGCACAATTATAATATGTTTATAATAGTTTTGGTAATTTTCCCCAAAATCGATGTAAACTTAACGCTTTGCATGTTTGAATTTGCAGGTTTGGCACATTACTTGAGATTCTGACGTTGTTAAAAGCCAATCCAATCGAATAGGTATCTACATCTTCAAGTGCTAAATTCTAAATGAAGATAACGTAATAAAATTTCATAAACTTATATTTTCCCACTCTTTTCTGGAAATGCATATCTAATTAAAATATAAAAAAACACCTTAATTAGTCACCAATCCAATTTCTTTTATACTTATTTTTCCTGTTGCTTTTGTCTAATAATATTTTTTTTTTGTCTAATAATATTAGAGTCCAGTAACTCCAAAATAGCATCAATTTGCTCGTGACTACATCAGGTAGCTCCCATAGGGATTTCTGCAGCATGTTCGTTTGCAAGCAGGGAATGATGGATTCTACATATGGATTCCTTATTTTAACGTGTTGGTGTTCGCATGTCCTGCGCCTCCAATTCCGCCCGTATCTTTGTTTTTTTTTTAGAGGAGAGAATACCCATTAGGTTGTTTTACATCCAGGGGATCCGAGCCAGGATGAAGCCTTCTATTTTATGGAGGATAACCTCCGGCCACAATATTTAATGTCCGGACATGCCCGGATCCGCAAGAGGCCCAAACGAGCACAGTTTAACGACTTGCCTGGGTCGGATACTGGAGAACAGGAGTGACAAGCCATTTTCTTGGCGAAGAAAGTACCAAGTTTTACCCTACATCAGGAATGTCCATTTTAATATATCAATTTTATGTACATCAAATTTAATCTAAATTTTTTTTTCTTATGTACGTGATGATTGTTTTCCTTAAATTAAAGACATGAAATTGACGTTCTGCTAGTATTCCAAGTTGGCGGGAAATGTTACGTGAAGTAATTGATGAGATAGTGAAGGAAGGGTTCTGGAACAAAGCACTAGCATTTTACAATAAATCTGAGTAGAAAATCATTGCACTATCAGTTTGGTTCTGGCATGACCCTGTGAGATTTGAAACTGCTCAGATATGCCGAGATGTGTCATGAGAATCCACACATGAGTGAGTAGCTCTCCTCCCCTTCTAAGCTGCTGGGCATGATGATTCCACCGGCAATGACTCGCGGCGTAACACAGCATCTCTATCCACACCTCGTTTATCATTTCCCACTTCTTTTGGTTTCTGGTGTCCAGTGATTGCAGCGATTTCGCGAGCCTGCACGCATCGAACAGCACGGACTTACTCCGATCTCCTTTTACATCAACCGGTGAAATCCGGGTATCCACCTCAAGCAGTTTCTTGCAAGCGAGGCTCTTGTTTTGTATATATTTCCTTTCTTGGATGAAAGCCTCGGCCTCGGCGCAGGTGTCTTGGAGCCTGATTTGCCCGATTCCATCGGGCAACATGAACGGACGCTTCATTAGTATGAACAGCATGTAATTTGATAATAGTCTGATTGCTTCACATCGTGACTTACTCACAATATCTAGATTCTTGTTACTGCTATCATCATAGAGACAGAGATCTGTTGCAATGTGCCAGAGGATGATGCTTTGATCAAACTCCACATTGATGCTCCATCCGAGTTTCTCAATACACTCATATTTTTTGAGCACCCATTCACCTCTATAAGAGCATAACTCCTTGCAAAGTCTGAAATCCACAGCGTTCCAAGACTTCTCCAAGAGTTGTTCGAAGACTGATATCTTTAAATAATCCGAAACTGGCTCCATCTGATCGTCTTGATAGTTTTCTAGCTGTTTGTGCATCCAATTTAGAAGTCCACAGCACCTGACCGTCCGATCCTTAAAGCAAGAGGATAACATGTTGTACTGCGCGACACAGTTGGACCACCTTTTGTTGATAGACAAAGAATGAAGGCCAGAAATCAACCCCCTCGTTTCTGCTCTCAAATTGTCATGCCTACTCATCCAAAGCATTGTCCAGTCGGATGAAAGGAGCACTAAAATCGCATATAGTTCAAGACCAATAGCTCCAACCAGCAAGATTAGACTGATTCCCACATTCGCAGAAGAGTAGCCAGACAAATCAATCAGGCAGAAGGCTGTTAAAGCAGCAGCAGTAGATGAAAAGCTGATTGATCGGAGAACGCCACCCCAGAAATGATGTACAATTGTGGCTTTGGTAAAGAGCACATCATACATGAATCCGAGTTCCATTTCAATCACTTTGAAAGCATCTTCCCAGTCACTTCTCTGGAAGAATGGTTGGCTCTTCTGGAGATCCTGGAAGCTAAGGATGAGATCAGCGAACAGGCACTTGGAGATCAAGAAAAAGTCATAAGCAATGATCAATGCATCGCCCTCTTGCATTAGGTGGCTAGGCGCGACTCTAGGAGGTGGTATAGCAGTCAGAGACAGCTCGTACCCCTCGATTTCTTTCAAAGTGTATTCCTCCATGAATTTGGCATAATTAGGGCCAGGATCAGGATGTGGAAGGAGTGATCTTCGGAATTGCTTACTGCTAGCTAATCTGAGAACCCAAGTCCTTTCGCCATACTTGATCAACCCTGCAACAAATATTGGAATGGCTAAGAAATTTAGCTGAGTAGGCTTCATGGACCTGACAAAGATGTATGATGCCACTGCAACCTCGACAATTAGCCCGAGCAAGTGCCGAAGCCATAATTCATTATCTTCCAATGAGTACGCAGTAATTGTATCAGGGCCACCGAGGTGAAGGAGCAAAAATGGAGCCCAGAAGGCCATTATTACGTACTCAAGATCTATGTAAGCATCGCTGCAGTTGCCTTGGCTACGTGAGAGGATGCCAAGGGAAATGATTGCAATCGAGTCTGCAGATAAATAGGCGAGCCATAAGACAAATGCGATTTTGTTCCCAGTTGAGTATTTTCTTCTGTTGCCTAGACCAATGAGGATAATCTGTAAAATGAGACTCGTCAGAACGAGCAACCGCAACTCCCATTCCTCCCAGAGTAAGATTAACCTTTCAAAGAAGCTATTAGATGCCATTCCCTCTGTGAAGATCAATACCCTGACAGGTGACGAATTCAGATCAGATGTACGAAAAAACTTATGGATGTGATAGTTATCCATACAAACCAAACCACAGATAAGATCCTTACTCAACATGGACACTATATTTTTGGAAGTCAGAGCTGTTATCAACTGAGGATCTCATGAACCAAACTTTTGGTGAGAAATGATTTCCGATATATGTATAAAAAAACTGACCTTGGATGGATAACCGTTAAGGCATAATCAAAGGGTCGCTCCGTGGAAACCCATTTAACTGTTTGTCAGTCTTAAAACACTGGCTCACAGGCATTCAGTAGCCCTTTGCAATTCTATGGCTATGCCACTAAAGCATCAACAAGCCAAAACAAGAAAGCTTATGTAGCTTTTCATTTTCCTAATTGGAAGCAATACCTGGATAAATTTCGCTTGGTAGCTCACTCTTGTGGTTCAACGCTTCATCACTTCTCGACTGTAAAAGCCTTCCAACACACCATCGGTAACAATAACCCTGCCTCTCTCTCTCTCTCTCAGCAAAATTGACGGAGCATAAATTATATCCTATGAGAATTTCTAAGAGCTTCTGTTAGAGGGATGACAATCTTCATTATCTCAGGAAGTCCCAAATCAAGATAAGGAAAATGAACAGTTGTGATCCGAGATGACAAATCACATGAAACACGATTACAATGTTCTAGATTCAGTAACGCATGTGTAGAACTCATCTTCAACAGTTGACGCTTAGACTGATAGCTGCAACGAACTCCATGTGAGAATGACAGCTGCAAAAAGAGAGAACAATAATTAGGTCTGACTTGATGGTATGACAACTCGATTTATCTAAAGTCCACTGTAGATTATGATGAAATGTAGAGTGAAGTTTTTGGATTCTTATCTTCATCGTTCTTTCCTTATCTTGAATTCTGGGTGGACAATCTCTTCGCTTCATAAACTGCCATCAAAATTTTTCATTTTCCTCGTACTAGTTTTCTGAAATTTCTTTGAACGGGTTTTGGTGAACGCAGATGAGCAACCCATACAGCAAACGAGCAACCATGGAGCCACTGATACCGAAAAGAGGCATGATAAGGCGTGTTATCTTCAGAGAAATCTCAGACCTTACGGTCAGAAAAAATGTCAAAGTTATCACAGACCTTATAGTCCGTGAATCGGCTCTGCTTAGGGGATCCGAAGATCAATTCATAGAAATAGAGAAAGACCTGAGGGAATTGCAGTCAATGCTGACAGTTGCAGAAGCCATGGAAGGATCAGATGCAGGGCTGCCGAAAATAGTGGATTCCATGCGGCAGCTTTTTGTCCACGCGGAAGATGTTGTTGATGCTTTTGTCAATGAACGGGAAAGACAAAGCAATTGGGGTTGCTTCAGGAGGACAATTTTCTTCTTCAAAGATATGATTGCCAGGCATAGATTTCAAGATGAAGTTGAAAAGATCGGGCGTACGATTTCGGATATCAGGTCAGAGGCACCCTCAATTGTCATTAGAGACGCCAGTGATAACATTCAGTCAGCAGCTCAGAAATTGCCAACGTGGGGACCTTCTTATAGGAGTTACGTCAAAGAGAATGATATGATGGGTCTAGAGCTCCACTACAAGGTCATAAAATCGAGGCTGATGGACACAGACAGCTCCGGCACAAGTCCAAGTGTTCTCTCAATAGTCGGCATGGGAGGAGCAGGTAAGACAACTCTTGCTCGCAAGATATACAATGATAGTGAGATCAAAACACGTTTCACTTGTCGTGCTTGGATCACTATATCTCAGGCATTTGTACCTCGTACCTCGTTGATCAATATAAGCACTCAAGTTCAGGCAGGACTTCAGGTGACAGATCGACATACTCCTAGGGATATCGAGTTAGCTAAGAGTCTAAATAATTTCTTAAGCTCTAAGAGGTATCTTATAGTCCTGGATGATATGTGGACGACTCGAGATTGGGACGATATACGTCAGGCTTTTCCAAAGACTGACAAGGGGAGTAGGATAATAGTCATTACTCGCGCGAAAGAAGTGGCTTTATACACCAATCCAAAGAGCCCTCCTTACGAGCTGCAGTTGAGTGACGAAGACGGCTGGCTACTACTCAAATCCAAGATTTACGTACCTGCTGAGCTAGAGGAAGTTGGGCGGGCAATTGTGAGAAGATGCATGGGCTCTCCTCTAATGATATCCACCGTAGGAACTCTATTGTCGACGCAAGATGCAACTAGGAAGCAATGGGCGTCGGTGCTGGACCAGCTGAAAAGAGATCATGAATCTGTATATGATTCCTTAGCAGTGGCTGCCGATCTTTTGCCATCATACCTCAAGCAATGCCTATTTTATTTTGGGCTTTTTCAAGAAGACTATGACATCCCCACGAGGAGGTTGATTGTTTTGTGGGTGGCGGAGGGATTGGTCTGGAAAGATAAGAGTTCTGACGAGTCTCCTGAAGTAAATGCGGAGAAGTACTTGTCCAACTTAATAGAACAGAACTTGATCCAAGTAGTGAAGAGGAAGCCTGACGGGAGGGTCAAAACGTGTAGGATGCACGATGTTATGAGGGATATGTGGGTGCAGAAAGCAAAAGAAGCTGGGTTCCTGCAAGCACAAGATAGAGCCCAGGCTAGCTCTTCTTCCAGTGGGGTAACGATACGTCGACTTGCAGACCATCTCGATCCGAGGGACGATAGCTTCAGTCACATCCATGGAGACAACAGCTCCAATAGTTCATTCTTCCGTTCCTATTACGAAAATCTCCGCACTTTACTGTCCTTTGATTCAAGGGAAGGAACTGCCCCTGGAAAAGACATAGGAGACTTTCTTCGAAGGGGCATTACAAACAGGTGCTTCCAAGGAATGCGCGTGCTCGATCTGGAAAGGCTGTTTCGACCTAAACTGCCAGAGTCACTGGGGAAACTGATCCACTTGAGATATCTGGGGTTAAGGTGGACTTACCTGGAGAACCTCCCTTCGTCGATACACAATCTGTTCAACTTGCAAACTCTCGATCTGAAGCACACTTACATAAGCACACTTCCTAGCTCCTTTTGGAAGATGCAGCAACTGAGGCACCTGTACCTGAGTGAGAGTTACCGAACGAGATTCGTGCCTCCTCGGGGCACGAGCTCTCTGACGGACTTACAAACACTATGGGGCGCATTTGTAGACGAGGGGAGTCCACTGGCCAATAGCCTCTACAGTTTGACAAAGCTTAGGAAGCTGGGGCTTACATGTCAGTTAACCCGTTGTGAACAAGAGGTAATGGCTGACTGGATTTTATGTCTTGCACGACTCGAGTCGTTGAGATTGATCTCCATTGATATCTCGGTGAAACCTTCCGATCTATATCTAAAGCCCTTGTCAGGACTTGAGAATCTCACTAGCATATACTTGCTGGGAAGATTGACCAATGCGGTTGTGGTGGACGAATTTCCCCAAAGACTCACCGAGCTGACCTTGTCCTTGTCCGGACTAGATGTAGACCCCATGCAAAAGTTGGCGCAACTTTCGAATCTGAAAATCCTCAGGTTACTATGCGACGCGTTCGTGGGGGGATCCATGTCCTGCCCTCGAGGTGGATTCCCATTGCTTCAGGTGCTGAAGCTCTGGAAGCTAAAGCAGCTAAAGGAGTGGGAGATAGCAAAGGGCTCGCTGCCAATCCTCCGGGAACTAGAGATCAGATCCTGCACGGCTCTTCAAACAATTCCAGAAGGACTGCAGCACCTGGAATTGCTCCTCGAGCTGAAACTCAAAGATATGCCTGAGGAATTCACCAGAATGGTCAGAGAAGTCCACGGAGAGGACTGGTACATCAAGCATGTATCCGTGGCAACAAGAAGTCCGGTGGATCAGCAATCTCAAACGAACAGCAACATTTAGGCTGCGCATGGCAACTTGCCAAATAGTGTTTGATTTTATTCTTTTGTTCCCAGAATCAGTTTGGGAATAGAAATCCGTTTGTTTAATTTTTTGATTCTGGGCACAAATTCTTGTAAATTTGTGCCCAGAATCAGTTTTGGAGCAGAATCGAGAATATAAAAAAAAGTAGCTTCTTGATTCTGGGAACAAAAATGAGAATCAGTTTTTTTTTTCTTCTTCTTTTTCTTGGTTTTTAATATAGCTTCTAATGTCCGGCGCGAGGACCACCGTATATGGCGAGATTAAAATATTTTAATAAAAAAATATTGTTAATAAAAAAAATTTACCGGCCATGGCCAGCGACCAGGCCATGGCGAAAAAAATAAAAAATATATTTTCAATAAAAATATTTTTTATTAAAATATTATTAATAAAAAATATTTTACCGATCATGGCCAGCGACCAGGCCACGGCGAAAAAAATAAAAAAAAATATTTATAAAAAAATATTTTACTGGCCATGGCCATCGACCAGGCCATGGCAAAAAAAAATAATTTCAAAAAAAATATTTTTTTATTAAAATATTATTAATAAAAAAATATTTTACCGGCCATGGTCAGCGACCAGGCCATGGCGAAAAAAAAATAAAAATATTTTTTAGTAAAATATTTTTTTTAAAAATTATTAATAAAAAAATTATTTATAAGAAAATTTTTTACCGGCCATCGCCAAAAAAGTAAAAAAATTATTTTTAATAAAGTATTATTAATTAAAAAATATTTTACCGGCCATGGCCAAGAGGAAGAGAAAAAAAAAAAGAAAGAAATATTAAAATATTTAAAATGTTATTAAAATATTATTAATAAAAAGAAATTTTATGTCGTTACCAAACGCATTTCGATTCTTTTACTATTTCAGGAATAAAAATTTTGGACCGTTACCAAACGCCTTCAACGCCGTAATCGCTCCCGGCACATAATCAAAAAGAATCATTTTTTACTGTAACTGCTCCCTACATGTAATCTACCGCATGCGCAGCCTTATTAGTATGCAAGACTGTAAATCTTCCCTGTGCCTTTTCGGTTGTCGTGAATGTATCCCACGTCACTTGTGTACGGGATTATTGTAATAATTGGGCCCGGCTCAAAGCCCAATTATTTTGTAAAGCTTCACCCCACTTTTTGCTTCAACTACCCGAGGAGATAAAAGAAAGCAAATAAAACGTAGAGAAGAAAGAGAGAGAAAGAAGTCTGCTAGAACTTCTAGCCTAGAAGGAAGAAAACCAGAAACAAATGGAAGGAAAGAAGAGGAAGGGGTTTCTTGCATGCGCGCTCCAAACGTTCCGACGAGTCCAATTAACTCTGCCGCGGCACCCGGTAAGGATTCGTACCCTCTGTTGTTCATCTAATTGGAGGAATTTTCGGAATTGAGGCTTAAATTTGTACGTGTACCCTCCGTTTAGACCAATTTTAGAGCGGAAAGGCACATTATTCATGTAATTCCTCAATCACATAGTAGTTTGTGGACAACCGTAGTAGTACAACTTGGCCAAGAATTAAGAAGGAAGTGATAAGAGCCCTCTTTAGCTTGGACTCTGGAATTGGTCTGTCAGTACAAGTTGCCACGGTTCCCTGATATAGCTTGTGAAAAACAACGAAGAGACACATATCGGTCTCCGAAACACAAGTAAATCGGAGAAATTTCGCAATTCCTTTACTATTTAACTGAGCACGTACGATCCTAACCCGAAGATCAAACAAGAAAGAATCATCTTCACATCTAGTCCGAATCATCCAGTATCCATGTTAGTTCGATTTGCGCTGTATCCTGCGAAAAACCCACTAACTTGTCTTAACTATTACACCTCTCTGCACATGCCATTCCCGTTTCAAGAACGCCAAAAGCTCATCGTTCGTGTCGTCCCTTCCAATATTGCATAACTTCCCCTCACATTTAGCGTGATTTTTTTTTCCGATACTAAATATGGACATATTTAATTGGAAAGATAAATGGAGTATTGAAAAATTTAAACTCGAGATCTCTTATTCTAATATCATATGAGATTTTGTAGGATCACTATCAACTAATTTAAAAGTTTAACCTGTTAGATGAAAGCGTGATTTAATATTTAAATATTCTATTAGATTCAATTAAGTCTCTCAACTTCTTTACCACCATCTCAGAAAAGGATTTCGTGGGCTTTTCGGAGATGGCGGCGGGAAACCAAAGATAGGCGGTGGTGACAGCGGCGACGCCAATCAGTTGGGATCTAAGAGGAAGGAGGAGTTGACGAGTCACGATCCCTTGGAATCGAAGAGAACGAGAGAGTAGGACCAGCGAAGAAGGAAGGAGGGCTAGACCTGTTTTCTTTTTAACTTTACTCTTTTAACCATATGGGTTGAAAGTTCTTCCATACCCATTTACAGGCATTTATTTTGAACTTTTCTTTTCGGAACTCAAATTTGAGCTGACCCATTTTAATAAATATGAGTTAAAACATGAGTCAGTGACCACAGCTCCAGTTGAAAGTGGGTTTACATTAGAGTATTAGACCCATTAATACCCATCTTTTTTTAGGTTTTTCATTTTAAAACTCATTAAAATCCATATTTCACATTTGAGCCGACCAATTTATAATCCATTCAACAAGATTGAGTTACATCATGGATTTGAGACCCACTTTGACAGGTCTAGCTATAACCTAATATAGAAACATACTACTCAAGGGATAACACAAGCAAACGACCTGACGTGGCAATGTACATACATTATCATGTCAACCAAGAGCGTCGCACATGCTTCTATGCTCGATGTTTAACGGCCATATGGACAGAAGTCCAGCGGAGGATAATTTCGATCATCAATATAAATTTGAGATATTTGCGAGACAAAAAAAAGTCGATGTTGTTTAAAAATAAATAAATTTTGGTACTATGTAGTCGAGACAATAAGCCGTTGATTGAAGCAAACCCAAGAGACGACGTAATGAGAACCTTTGTGCCTGGTGTTGGATAATTCGCCCTAGTGTTGCGAGTCGTGAGTTTGTGCGTCATTAATTAGTATGATCGTGGAATCACTCATCTCTCTTCCTCTTTGCGCAAAATTTGTTTTATTTTTGCTATGCGGTCCAACGCAATGGGAATCGAGTCGATTGGATGTCCGAATGAGGAAATTATAGCTGGTCAAATTTTGGTCAAACTTCTGGATAGCCAAATTAGGTCATGATGCCCGCGACTCATAGCTAGAGGTCTCCGAATCGAACAAAACTATTTCATCATTGTGATTTGGAAGGATAGTTAGGTCCTTTTAGCTGTTTGCACTCTGTATTACAAATAGCGATTTAAATCAACCAAACACCGAGTTAAACATGTCGAATGTTTCTCACTATCGTGACATGTTATCCAATTATCTATGTTCAATCAGAGAAATTTGATAAACGGTGCGGTTTTTTAAGAAAGTTGCTAAGTTGATATCTTAATCTATTGTAATCTATCTATATTTATCTCTACTATATAAAACAAATTTTTCAGATAGACCAAAACATCCTTATCTCATCTCCCTGTAAAAAGTAAAGAGGACATCCGACATTATTTACAATTAAAATTTGATATCCACGGGCAATTACTTTACAAATCTCCTATTTAGATTTGGGTTAATACCATAAAAAATCCTAAACTGGAGCATCTGTGACAAATTTACTCCAAATTAATTTTTTGACTTCCAAAAACTCCAAGTCAGTACATTTGTGACAAATATACCCCAACAAATTTTTTGATAACCTAAAATCTCAAACTGGTACATTTGTGACAAATTTACCCCCCGTTAGTTTTTGTTAAATTAGATTAATACCACGAAAAATCATAAATTGGTACACCTGCGATAAACGGAGGGTACAATCCCAAACCGGTACACCCGTTAACTATCGCGTGTTATCAAACTCAATAATTTGACAGTAAAATTTAACAGAAACTAATCAAGGGTAAATTTATCACAGGTGTACCAGTTTGGGGTTTTTTTCGTGATATTAACCCTTTGGATTTTCATGAGCACATACCCTAAATATTTTAATTCATTTTCGTTTCTCCTTTTTCGTTTCTCCTGCTTAAAATATCAAAAAGTTAATGTCTAAACTGGTGGTCGCTAAGCCAAATTATGCACATCTTTCTGCATGATTCTTCTTTTAATCCAATGACTGATGTACCAGCTTCTTAGAACGATCGCAAGTAAAAATAGCTGCTAAGTACAAACCGTCCTGAAAATAAACCTACACTCACTAATTGACCTCGGTTTGACATCAAAAATCTTTATATAGAGGAAGAGACCAAAATTCAGAAATCAGGTTGGAACCATTGGCTTGCATAAGGGCGACTAGTTGGATCGAAGCATGTCTCGACCTTTCTGTTGCCCATGCTGTAACTCTTCCAGTTGTTCTTCTCATCTACGTAATCTGTGAAATAGACGTGGTTTGGCTTGATTCCGGGAAGGCAAGACCCGGCGTTGAACTCCATGCAGAAGGAAGAGCTGTCGTTCAAGAAGAGGCACGCGTTCCCCAAGCTCTCGACCTCTTCCTGAGTTCCCTTCTCCAAATCAACTTCGAAAATTCCCCTCGCCCCAAGTCTTCCAAGCCACCAGCAACGAGCCCAAACTTCGACGAGATACGGGCGATCTCCGGGGTTCTGCCCTAGGACTAGTCGCAATTCCATGCGCCTCTCGCTCTCATTCAGAGTCATTACACGAAGACGCGCATCCAAGGCCACAAATGACCTGTCGTGATAAATCAGTTGAAGGACATTGGGCCAAGGAGCATGCATCACTCGGCTCACAACCGTCCACGCATCTTCTCCTGATTTGTGGAAGGCAAGGCCTGGTGGTCCAAGATCCCGAGGAATAGAGACCATGACCGTGTAGAAGAAGTGCTCGAGGATAGTGCGATCCTGTCGATTCTCTGGCGGCCGGACGAGTGGCCCACCAGCCCGTGGAGCTTTTCCAAGGCGGGGAGTTCAATGCTGACGCGCGAAAGCGGATTGAAGATACGGTATTCATGGTCCAGGTTCGACACGAGCATCCATTCTGGTGGAGACAAGGTCCGGGCTTGAGATCCTGGCAAGTTCACTCGTAGAATCCTCCCCCTAGAGAGGCTGCAGAACTCAGTCATCGAATCGTGCGCATAATCCATGAGCCACAGGGCTTTCGACTTCGCGTCCTATGTCCCCTTGGCGGCGGTGGACCGCCACGAGGTGCACACCGCTCCGAAAGCTAAGAAGTCTTCTATGGCTAGCCGCTGAGTGATGAGCTCTAGGAGCTCTCGCGGGAGTCCTTCCCAGTTCGCCATCACTTCGTCGCGGATTGAGCCATCAAATTTTCTGGCGTGCAGCTTCTTTTGATGGAATTTATTCCTCAAAACACAGAGGCAGGTCCTTTCTCATGTGAGGAAAGATGAGACTTTTTGGCTTAGGATTATCCCAATCTAAATTACCTCTTTCAAACGAGTCCCTTCGCAAATCTCATCGCTTTCTTTTTATATTCTTGAATGAATATTCCTTTGCCGTGGCTGGAAAGATACGGCAAATCTTTGTATAACACACATCAAATCTAAAAGTTAGTTTCCTTTGAAATTTAATACCACGAAAAACTCCAAACTTGTGTAACTATAATAAATTTATCCAAAACTAATTGTTTTACCACCTAAAACCCTAAACCGGTATACCTATAACAAATTTACGACAAATTAATTTTTTGACCACCAAAAATCCCAAACCGGTACGCTTGTGATAAATTTACCCTCCGTTAAATTAGATTAATACCACAAAAAATCATAAATTAGTAAATCTGTGAAAAATAAAGGGATAAAACCTTAAGCTGGTATACACGGAAACAAATGTAGGGTAAAATTGTCACAGGTATACCGGTTTTTGATTTTTTGTGATAAAAAATTAGTTTTTGGTAAATTTATTACAGACATACCAATTCGAAATTTTTTGTGATATTAACTCTTCCCTTTTTCAAGCTTTCCTAAACGAGTGTGGGTTTATTTTCCTCAAATAGACAAAACTTAGGATATATTTATTCCATCGCATTTATATTTCTTATTTTTCTTTCCGCATGCAAGGTGTGTGCGCTCTTTTCCTATAGGCAACATTTCGGTAAACAAAAGGGAGGTTTCAAATTACGTAATTCTTTATCAAAACAAGATGACGATCGCATAAAAAAAAGGGAGGGTAAACAAAGAAGTAGTGACGACTGACGACGAGCCATTGTTGTATCATAGCGTCTTTTGCGGCGGGGCGATTGCATGGATTTTTTTTAGTAAAGGGCATAGCACGGAATGTTCTTTTATTTTTTAAGAGAACTTGCCACCTATTGTTTAAAATAAAAATAGAGGAAAAATCTAATGATTTTATTAATAAATATAGTGAACTGTCATATCTTATTTTAAATGCACTTTGTATTTATGTCATCTTACAACCTATTTTTCTTAACTTGATTACCACAAGCACACGTAATATTGAAACGTGAATTATAATATATTCATTTATATGTCACCATTATAGATTTAGCATTATGTACATTAACGCCATGCTTATTCCAATGTAACTCATTTATAGTTATGTTACTTAGTTATTATCTTAATATGCTTGGTGTAAATACATAAAGAAATTGTCAACATCGAATCGATTTTAAATTTTTTGAATTGTCAACATCGAGCGGTCACTAAATCCGACGAGGGTGGCCCTCGCCCTGGCCACGAGAGTCTAGCCCTCGCTAGAGCCAACAAGGGCCGCAACGCCCTCGCATGTGGCCGGTTAGGCTAAAGCAGAAAGAGAAGGAAAAAGAAAAAGAAAAGGGAAAATTTAAAAAGATAAAAAATATTATTAAAAATATAAGTGTCAACACTGACCGTGCCACGTAGGACGGTCAGCGTCTACGTCAGGCCAAAATTGGCCAGACAAACTGAATTGGTGCCAATATGAAAATATTTAATACTAAATTGATCCAATCAAAATGTTTATGACTGAATTAGTACCGATGCAATAGGTTTATGATTTTTTTAGTACTTTTCTCATTCTGATACTATACAAAACTTTGGGGATCATGTATAATCTCACATATAGATCTCTTGGTAATTTTTTAAAGCATAAATAAGTGTTTGATACTTATTGTGAAAACCGAATCAGGAAATTGATGATGATTTATATTAACACGATAGTAGGAATTAGGGGTAAGCAGTTACGCGTTCCCTACATGTTCCACTTGGAATCTGGAACCTATCCGTTGGAACATGTTCATAATATTTTGAAACTTGGAACCTACTCTGCATACCTTACATCCTAGAATCAGGGTCGGTTCCAGGGTCTACCTAGGTTCTACCCGTATTATTAATTGAATGATTGCAGTGAATCATCACACACTACAAAAAAATAAGGGATTAGCGACGAATTTTGCGACGAAAAATTTGGAAAAATCCGTTGCAAATCGAATTTGCGACGAATTTAGCGATGGAATTTTTTCCGTCGCTAATAGGTCGTCGCAAAATTTTGCGACGGAAAATTTCAATTTCCGTCGCAAAATTGCGACGGAAAAAAATTCGTCGCAAAATTGCGACGGAAAAAAATTCGTCGCAAATTAGCCACGAACACTATCCGTCGCAAATTAGCCACCAACACTATCCGTCGCAAAATTCGTCGCAAATTAGCCACGAACTTTATTCGTCGCAAAATTCATCGCAAAATTCATCGCACATTTCGTCGCAAATTTCGTCCCAAATTTAGTCGCACATTTCGTCGCAAATAATTCGTCGCAAATTAGCCACGAACTTTATTCGTCGCAAAATTTATCACGAAATTCGTTGCAAAATTCGTCGCAAAATCCGTCGCAAAATTAGCCACGAACTTTATTCGTCGCAAAATTTGTTACAAAATTCGTTGCAAAATTCGTCGCAAAATTAGCCACGAACTTTGTTCGTCGCAAAATGTATTCATCGCAAATTAGCCACGAACTTGATTCGTCGCTACTTATTCGTCGCAAATTAGCCACGAACTGTAATGGTCGCAAAATTCGTCTCTAAATATTCGTCGCAAATTTTACACCATTTCGGCCATCAAATCTTGTCCATATCAATAACTACGCATTAATAAACATCATGTAATACATTGAAAACAATCAAAAGACACGAGACAATCATAGATTCCGCTTCAGAAACAGAAAACGAACAAACCAGACACAATGCCATATAATTGAAAAATATAACTGAAGGAAAGATGCTAATCCGCAAAAAATAATGATATATGCAAAGTTGCAAAGTCTAACATGATGCTTTTTGATATCTCATCTTATAATACATTCAAAACATTCATAGGAGGCGGGACAACCATAGATTCTGCTTAAAAAACGAAAAATCGACAAACCAGACACAAGATTGGGCAGCTTTGGTACTCGGCAGGACACCAAAAGCAGTCACTTTTGTCGACACCTGATGAAATGTGGATACATAAATAAAGATATTCAATCAGTCCATAATATAAAAGAAGTGTTTATGCATGGATGTGGAACTAGGTATAAAAAAACAAGTAAGAAGGTTAACAAAAAAATGTTTCAGGATGAACATTAATGTTCTTACATATGAATATGAGTCAACTTTGACATCTACTGTAGTTTTTCCACCCTTGTAAACCGTATTTCTGTCACCTAGAAAAAATTAGATCCTTGTCCAAACAGCATTCAACAGTTTAATGACTTAGAGAGGTGAATTACCAACACCAATTCTCAGGAAGAGAGGACTCAAAGTCAATTAAGGCATGTATTTCTACAATGTTCAAATATCATGATTTTTTTTAACAAGCATGTCATCCTGAGATCTCTAAATTTTCAGTTTTTCGCAAGCAAAGAACCTAGTTGTAAGAAAGTTGTGCACAAAAAGTAATTGTAGGGTAGGAACATATTGGGTGAAACTGCACTTATGTCATAAAAGATTGTGAAGCAAGCTTACCCCCGATTTTGGGAATTTTAACTAGAAAGGACCGAGAAAATCATCATCATCATCATCAGCAGCAGCAATCTCAGCACCATTGTGTCGCTCATCATTGTGCCCATCACCTATTGGATTGGCGGGAGATACAGGAGGAACCTCACCGCGATTGAGGTTGAGGTGTCGCATAACGATTTGCATTTGTTGTTTCAAGTAATTTATTTCTTCGTCCCTCTCTACAATTATATTTTTCAATTGGTTCACTTCTTGGGTCAATTGCTCGTCATGTCGTGTCCTCCTTCGACCAGCTGCATTGGATGATGAAGTTCCAGCATGATTCGGCATGTACATCTTTGACAAGGATCCCATCCCAAATATTTTTCCTTTTTTCATCCCACCTGTTGCCTCCACCCATAATGCCATACTGTCAACTGATGGCTCAGACGCAGCACAACCATCACTACCACTAGCATTGCTCATTAAAAGTTCATCATATTTTCCTACATTAACAATATAGATGAAAATAAAATAACTTCATATATATATTTACCATAAATATTAAAAGCATTCACGGTTTTCATTCTAATTTCCATAAAGCCCAAAGTATAACCTTACATACCTTAATAGCTTTTGCTCGATCGCCAATCTATGTCTTATCTTTCTTTTGAAATATGCGTTCAAATGTAGTTGCAAATGTCGGTTCCGTCCCCAATTCATGTGCCTACAAAATGTAAACATGAGTAATTGAATTAAATTAACTTATAACTTATTTAACAGACTTACCAGTCGTTT